GACGAGCATGACTCATGTCCAGACATTAGAAGGAGGAAATAAGATTGTAGACTAGGAACGTATGACTTGTCATCAAAATCAAAGACACAAAATGTCTTCAACCTTAAGGCGGCGATGACAACATGCAGCAGTGCAACATATCAAAATGAAGATCTGAGGAAACAGCGAGAACATGACCATCATAATCAGAAAAAGTCACCTTGCAGTGGAGAGGACATCCCTGCACTGCTAGTGTGGGGGCTGCGATCCCTGCTGAGACCTTTGGGTGACCCACAGTCCTGTATTGGTGGTGACACAACTGGTGTTGGCGACATCCCCACCGGCAGAGGACTGCTGCTGCTCCCTCTGCCCAAGCTGTGGTGCTGCGGGCTGCCGCGGGGTGGGGTGAAGTTCTGGGCAGCTGGGGGCATCATGCGAGTCTGGGACTGAGATTGCTGTGGCAGCTGCTGCTGGGGGGGCTGGTAGAAGGGCATCCCATTTGTCATCATACTGTAATGCTGCTGCTGCTGCTGCTGCTGCTGGTGGTGATGGTGAGACTGATGGTGGGAGAGGAGGGGCTGCTGAGACGGTTGATGGGCGGGCGGTTGTAAGGTCTGCTGCTGGTGATGTGGGGACGGCGTAACGCCAGGATGAGACTGACTCTGGAAGCTCCCATACATGCTGGGGGAATTATAACTCATCTGTTGTTGGGTGGGGTTGCTCCTGTTCCAATACTGGCTGTTGCCTGTTAGAGGGACGTTTGTTTGGCCTGCGGTGGGGGGCTGGTGGGACGCTTCCACGCCACCATTCAGTTGGTACTGGCTGTGGCTTTGGAAGTGGTGCTGTGACTGAGACTGAGTAATCCCAGGCGCCGGCTGCTTCTGGTGGACCCCCTGCCCTGATGACGAGCCCATGCCGGGGCCATACTGAGGGAGCCCCCCCCACAGGTATTCGTAGCCAACGCCGCCCTGGTGGTGGCCGCTCATGTGCGGGTAAGGAGCTGACGGGGGGTGGGAACCAGACACGTTCGACCCGTGTACAGTAGTGACGCCATTCACATTCATTTCGCCATTCAGATCTGTTAAAGAGCAGAAACAGCTTTAAAAAACTGTTCAAACAGAAAGACATGTTTATTCCTAAAAACATTAAATAAATTAAGAGGAGTTCAGTTCAGGAAATGTGTGCAATGATTCTCTGTGTTGTGACAATTATTTAATTTTACATGGTAGTTGATTAACCAGAAGTTCTATATTTTACAATACATAAACTGACCAACAAACAAAGGCGCCAAGATTTTAAAAATTAGGGATCCACGATATTAACACCAACATCAATATCAGATAATTTTAGTAGTTTTTTAAAAACATTTATTCATTAGGTTTATTTGATGTAGACAGACACATGATTCTTATGGTGTAATTTGCAGCACTTGTCCCTTGTTAAGCTTTCCTACACAGTGTGTGTGTATATATATATATATATATATATATATATATATATAGAGAGAGAGAGAGAGAGAGAGAGAGATATCGGTCCGATAAATAAAACTGAGCCGGTATCAGCAACTGATATCGATTTCTGTCTTATTACCATTCGTTTCTAAGGAGGGCAGGGGGAGGAGTTGGTCATGTGATATTTGTTTGGTCATGTGATAGTGATGAAGTGCAGGATTCTGGGAAGCTTAACTGAAGTAGGGGTGAAGTTTTTTTTTTTTTTTTTGAAGGCATCAATAGAACATTGACATATATGTAATATGTACAGTACTGGCAAATAATGGTTATCAGCCATACCTGCAGTATTTATATCAAATATTAGGCCGAATTTTTATATTGGTGCTTTGCTAAAAATACATACTAATTTGCCTTTTTCTCAACAGTTATCTAAATGTGATTGTGGAGGGCATCAGCAATTATTTTAAAGACTCACTGGTGCAGCCTGTTAAGCTACTGCAAAGCACTTTGAATTGCCTTGTTGCTGAAACATGCTGCACAAATGAACTTTCCATGCTTGACAGTTTCTGGAAGGTTTTGAACCCAATTTTAATACAATTGTTAAGCAGTTAACAAATCAAACGTATCACAGTTTTTGCAATTGCAGACAAGTCAGGATGCAAATGCTGACCCCTCTCCAACGGCAAACGCATATGACCATCACAACCTATTCTTGGAGCAACACAGTCTTGTGTCACTACCTCTGCATTCGATGAGTACTTATTAAAATAATGTTCAACATCTTTCCAATTTAGCAGAATACAGATAAAAATGCTTTAATTTGATGAATACAAAATAATACTTAAGCACACAACTGTTATGTTGAAGGTTTTATGTGACCCTCTAGAGTCTACAGGGTGGACCAGATTTGGCCCCCAGACCTTAAGTTTGAAACATGTGTATTAAATGATGTTATACTCACTCTTCCCCTGTTGAGGAAAACTCATGGAGGACCCGTTAGTATAAAGAGAATCCCCTGAGGAGAGTTTCAGTCCTGAGTTTGTTGAGGTGCCATAGTTGAAATGGTTATTCGAGTCCATCTAAAATAAATAATAACAATAAAATAAAATAGAATCACAACACTAGTCTGTCGTTACTCTCCATTAAAATTCAAGAAATCACAAATAACCAACTTCTGTTTTGTTTCATACAGCCTGTTTAAATGATTTTGTGACAGCATTTTGGGACCAACGGCAGCAGCCGTTAAAATGTCGCAGCCAGCAGCAGCAGATGCCAGGCCCGAGCGAGTGTAATGGACAAGCCGAATATTACGGTAGGAGCTCATCATTACCGCTGATGAGGCGCTGCTAATACGGGCACAGACTAAAAATGTTCATTACAGGTACAAACACAAGCACGAAACATCATCAGGGCGGCAGTGGAGGAAGGCGAGGGGATAAACTAATAATGTATTGATATTTTAAAGAACAGTTGACAACAGCACTGGCTGTTTACCAGTTTTCGATAGTCCTCCGGGATCTTGATTTCCTAATTCAACGAGGCCGTTGCAACAGCAGGCGCCGCGTTAGCTTAGCGCCCTCAAATGAACCAGCCACTACTTTAAAGCGCTGCCAGACGGCTGTGCTGGCCATTTTATCCTTAATGTTAGATTAAAGTGCGAGTCCGAAAGGTTCCCAGCAACTTTTCATGCCCGGAATATGTAACAGAGAATATCAGCCTAGCACCCCCCAAGGTTATTTAGCTACATCATCACAAAAGAACAAAGCTAACAGATAAAGCTAACTAATAGCATCCTTATCCGGAGTAAGTAGGCTGCGACGTTAGCAGGTACCATAACCACGCTGGTTCATCCCGTGGTGAATGCAAAAAAAAAAAAAAAAATCAAGCCGGTTTGTTAAAAATAAAAACGAACTCACAAAAAACAGACTCGCGGATTAATAAACGGAGGCGTACTCCCATTTGATGACGGGCTAACGTTAGCTAGCAGCCAGATGAAGTTACATTGTTTACGCACACAGACAATTTCTGCAGAGCATCATCCTCCTACACCGCCACCATCCAAAGTTTCACCGATATTCCACTCAAAACAGGCCAACCTTTTTTCTGTTTAGTCCTTGGGTTCCGGAGGCGCCGACGGCGTTAAACCCCCTCCGTGTTAACGGGTAAGCGTAGGTGAAGATGACACAGCGATAAATTATAAACAACTATTCCCTAACCTTTGGGTTTTAAATTAGCAAACATGGCTGTTGAGGTCCGGTGCAGCCATGATCACAGAACGGAGTGAAGCTGGAGCCGCGTTAACGTCCCAACAATGAGGCGCACACACATCCGGTAAAAGTACTTCAACAAAGTTCAAGACGCGTGTATACACACAGAGCAGGGAAATAAAGCCAAAAAACATATCCTTTTAAATTATAGCCAACGGCACAAACTATTTCATCACTTAATAAAAAACATTTTTATTTGATTCAGCAAGTAAAATAATTGTGAATATAGAATACATTTGTAAAATGCGGTTGACATAATTATTTCTAGCGACTAACACACGTATTAATGAGCAAGTCTTTCATTTAATATTTCCTATTTAAAATATTTACACTTCAAAAAGACGTAATAGTTGTGTTTTTAATATTAAATTGATTATTGAAGCTCTAAACTTTTATTTTATTGCAGTCGGGTGTGTAAACAGGAAGCTACATTATTGCATCTTGTGGCAATTTTCTCATAAATGGCAATCTGTGAGGAAATCGGGCCTAAAGAGGAAGTATGCTAATATATTATTCTAGGCCTTAAATCCAGGTGCTTTCTGGGTCCTAGCGCCGATGCGCTACGACTCAGAAAGCATATTTTATTATGAGTACTAAAAATAATTTTCAGGTAATTAGCACTGCAAGTAGAATACATTTAGTTCAATTTAATAAAGTTGGTCTAGATTTGCGTTCCTAAAATATTTTATTGTGCACATGAACCTACATGTGCTACCCAAATGTTCTCAAAGTACAAATTTGGTCAGGTGTACTTATAGCATTGAGGTTGTCATTTGGTTTTAAAATTTAAATCTAACTTTAAAGGTAGATAGAGGTGTATAGAAAGCATCTCTGAACATATTTTCAGTTGAATATGTCTGGATTTAGACTGGAGATTCTTCAATGAATCTGTACAGTTCAGCTGACCCACTGCTTTTCCGTATTCACAACCAGCCATTTGAGCCATTCTACAAATACCATTTAATGTTATAAATCCATAAATTAAAAAAAGTTGTTTCCCAGACCTTTTGGGAAATTTTTCAAAATGGTAAACAAGTTATCTTTTTTATCACTCCACAACCTTTTTTCTCCATCGTAATATCCCAATGAAATACATTAACATTTGTGGTTATAATGCATCCGACTTACAGAGAAAAAGGGCTTTCGTTGACAACTTAAGTTTTTTTTTTAAATTAATTAAAAAAAGGTCCCAACATAATCTGAGATTTTATTTCATAGCTAGAAATTGGTTTTACATCTGGCAAAAATAATTAGATCAAATGTCTTGTGTAAAGTCAAAACCTAAAACTGAAAAAGAAAGACATCGATTCTTAAACTGTTTATTAGAAAGATGTAGACAGTAAAAAACAAAAACATTTTCACTGTAATTGAATAGTACTTGCTTCTCGTTACATTTTCAGCAGTGCAAATATGATTTGGTCATTACTTATTATAGTTCCAACAATGTCCAAAACCATGAGAGAGTATAGGTTAAAAAAAACTGTAGAAGAGCAACAAACCGCATAATTCTGAGGCTTAACCAATTTTAACAGCTGCCTCTTCTCAGATATATGTGAAAGCTAGATGACAGAGTAAGAGAGGAGCTTTAAATAAATCCATCCAATTAATGGAAACCAAGTTGCTGTTGCTTGGTTTCAGTTGACAACTGGAGAAAAGCAAATCATCCTGCAATTGTTTCAGATTGATCCAGGTTTACAGACATTTAACAGGTGGAAGAGGGACATGTAAGCTGCAGATACAGGCTTCCTGGATAACTAAATTACAGCACATGGAAGTCTTTAGAGGACCCAATCAGTCAATGCATCTAATTCTTAAATCATGAGATACACTACACTGACTGACTACCTATAAAATCACAACATAGCCAACAGGGGGAGTCCAATCATTTTCAAGCAACTCATTTGAAAAACTGCAATTTTTAACATGTATTGCTCAGTTAGGTACAACTATGCAGTTTTTCCCCAACAAATAAAATGTGTGCTTAGTTGTAATATTTAACATTAAAACAAGGTACCCCAAAAAAGGTGCAGTACAGCAAATGGACATGGAGATAGCTGCTCTGTACAATACCATGCAAATTAATCTCAGGTAGACTGTCTGGTCAAAGAGTTTGGAGCTGAGGCTATGGATTTAAATATGGCTACCGACTCATATGAACAGTTGTTTGTCACCGTCTTCAGTTTCAAGATTTACATTTGTTAAGATTTCTCCCTCATCCTCCGTTCTTCCATCTTCTTTACAACGCTTTACTCCAAGTCCGGCATTTCTGAAAGTGAAAAATAGGTGTCGCTGAATCCATGCAAAGAAAATCACCGCTCTGTAGAAATACTCATGAATACTTACCATCGTCGTCGCTATCAAAAGTGTCCTCCTACAGTTTAAAGACAAACAAAAATGGAAAGATCAGGTTAAAGACATAAACTTGACTGTTAGCTTAAGCAAATGGCACAGTGGGAGGGGTTGCCATACAGTGTCAGATTTACTCAACAAAAATGTCCATAACAGAAAAAAATACTTCTAGATTTGTCACTAGTTGCTTTTTAGGAGAAAAGATGGTTAAATAATGCAGCTAAGTTGGTAAGTGTTGAAATGGAGCCATAAATTCATCTTCATTAATGGTAAAGCTCAGCATTTCTCTTCTTTATGCTTCCAGATGGCAGACTATGTCTTCAATCTTGCTACCACCCCCTTGAATAAGCATTTTTTAAATTCCAGTCATACAAAAATATTGGTTCAAATGTCATCTTTAGGATTGGTGCTTTGATAGGTATACGTAATCGGTACGATTATGAAAGGAAAATGTTTTCCGTAACTACTTTTTTTTAAAGAAATCTAGATATTTTATGTGAAAATGAGAAAAAGGAAATAAAGTCTGAAAATCTTGCTGTTACTGGACCTGAAGAAATACAACAAAAATACTCAGATTGCACAGGTTTATTGAGTTAGAGTTTTGATAAGCAAGTTTATTTACACCAAAGATTGAAAACCTAATAAAGCATAAAAAGTAAAATAAAAATTCATAAAGTCTTACATCATCTGTATAATCATCATTACCATCATCCTCTCTTTTCATGTTGTCCATCATCTGCAACAATAAAGTCAATATTACATTCATTTTTTAATTTTTGTTCAAACAAGCTAATGCTACCAACTTAAAAGCTAACTTAATACTGTCATAACACCAAGATCAGTATTTCTGGTACAATTGTTTGCAAGAAAAATATACCAAGTATATTTGTATATACCAAGTATAACCAAAAACGCAGCCATGCTGAAATGCATTTGTTTAATAACAGGTTTGTACTGTATGTCATCAAAATTGAAGGTCAACATTTGAGGTGTTTAATATAAGACTGTGAAAGAGTTTTATTATTCAAACTGAATTGCTAAAAAAAAATCAACTTAATGGGACTAATTCATATGAAGGCACCCACAAGCCCAAATAGAGGAATTTTCTTTTATGTTCCAACTCAATAGCAGTAATCTCAAAGCGCTTACATTTGAGAGTTGATCAAAGTTGGTCAGCTCCTCATCCGAGTCATCATCCCAGTCCTTCCAGTTGTTGAAGTCGACACAGAGCCAACACAACTGTGAACAAATAAGACCAGGATTATTATCTTTGCCCTAAGCCTGTTTAAAAAGATGCATATAAATATATAAGTAATAAAATCGATGTTTCTTTTATTCAACATCTCAAACCAATCTTATCCTCAGACAGGAATTTTTTTATATAGTAACTGCTGTAATGGTATTATGAATTTCAGGTTGATAACTGTACAGAAATTTCAGCAAGTTGAAAATCACCAGTGCTCAGGTTTTTCCGTAAGAATGAACCTGCTTTATTCTCAACGTTTCATGCACACTTGACTAACCCTAGTCTTCTCTTTTGTTAGTCTTGGCCATGTCATTCCCACTTCTGCTTTTTGTAGAAAGCACAAGACTGAACGATCTGTGCGTTTATGTTTGGAGTCCTGCATCAAGAGAATCGAAGAGAGAAAGGAAAAAAAAAACTTTTCATGAAACTTTTCAGCGCTGTGTCTATTTATTGAATAAAGCTGTAACTTACATTTTCATCAATATCAAGATAAAGATCTATTTTGTTCTCGAATATATCATCATCAGGTCCAACACAGCTGTGGGAGAAATTTGCAAGGATAAAGTGTTAAATTTTAGCTTTGTGCATGAATTTAACAATAATATTGCTATACACCCAACTATATGGTCACATACCTGAATCCGAGCTTTGTTTTATCAAAGTTAACTTTGACATCTTTGCTGTCGGCCACACAGAACTCTACACAAACAAAATCCCTCCTGTCGTACCACTTAGTAAGTGCTGGAATCCTGAAAGAATAAGAATACACATACAGAAGGTTAAGACTTCTTATAACTATTCAATGAGAAGCAAGAGGCAAAGATGCACTAATCAGTTATCTGAATTGACTCGGGCTGTTAAATAACCGGCTAAATACTAAAATAAAAACTGATTTGTAACAACTTCCACCATTTTCAATTAAAGCATCAAACGACATATGCTTTGTTACATCAACACAGATAGTGTTGCAATGCCTTAATTCTCTTTGATTTCAAAACCACAACTTCTACCAAAAGACCTGCAGAACATTTCTCTTGAGTGTTACAGACCCGGAAAAAAAAACCCTAAGAAAATCGGCAACCTGCAGGTCAAAAAATTAAATAAAACTGGAAATTGGCATCAGCCAGGAAAAGCCTACTCAAGGAATCTGCCATTTCAGATGAAACCAATCATGGTAAGTGCCATAAATCAAGTTTTGGTTAATTACGGTGCACAGATTTAATTACAACACCATATTTCACTCTATTGAAGGGCTGGCCATCATTTATATTAGGACCAAGTAGTCACATCAGTGGTTTTTCTGCATCTAAATCACATCTCTTACAAAAAAAAAATAAAATTTTTTACTGAGCTTCAGCTGGGAGAAAACCAAAATATGTGTTAATGTGCAGCTGTAATGACAAATACTCAATCGGGAAATGTTTAACAACACAGTTGTGGGAGTCTAATCTCATTAAACTTCTCATTTTTAAATCTAGAGCTTTTTAATCGCACAGCAGAGGTAACTACAGACTACCTTTGTCAACACACACCAAATGTTTTTGCTACCGATGTCTGCAAGAACAGATGGCCTTCAACAAGACCTTGTGTCAGGTTGCCACAGAGCCTCACGTTACACTCTTCACTGACAAAAGTAAAGCATTTGTTCATCCTCAAGCCTGATATGTTAGGCTTACTAAATTATTAATTCATTAAGTTACTGACTACTATGGAAAGACTGGTATTTCAACAAAAGGGAAACGTTTACTTAGGACAGCAGAATTGGCATTACTCCACTGACCCATCTGATCAGACTGATTTTATGTTTTTATCGTTCATGTTTCTGAATGGTCTGGTCCAGCCTCATTTACACATTCTATTAAATAATTAACCCATCTATGTATTTTCTAAAAATGGTTATTAAAGACTGTGAATAGGTAATACATACTTGAAATGTCTGTATTACCTATTTTAGTAGGGTAGGCAGTCTTAACACCTTTTTAACCAACTACTCTGACTGGTGAATATTTTTTATTTATGTTTTGTTTATTTCGAGTTGACATTGGAATGATGTTGAAAGAATCACTGGGACTCGGACATTGTCATGTAGTACAACTCTACTCAAAATCAGCTAAATGATCTCAATCCCAGAGATATCAATCTTTCTGTACTAGTCCATCCTGTTGCTCGACAAACTGGTTCTGTGTGTTTTATCTGAAATGCGTGTGTTAATTCACACGGGGCTCCATCTGTTTTATTCTGAATACAAGTAAACGCATATTAACAAGGAATTGTTTTTAAAAACACAAAAAACACCAGAGCTGCCTGGTGTGATGTCATCAGAAGCACGTGCACATGGGCCCTTCTGTTAAGAGGGATAATTTTTCCTTTTTCCAATTAAAACTAAAAAGGAAAATTATACAATGAAAGGTAATTCGATAGGAGGCAAACCATTTCTAAATAGAGTTTGGTTAATTACTCAGCTAAGATTCGCTAGTAGCTTTAAGTTTCTGCGCATCTCTTAACTGCTCTCTCTTAAAAATAAAGTAGCAATTAAAGGCTTGGATTTGCTGTTAAAATCCATCAGGTTTTCTGTTCAGCTGTAACATCCTGACTACTTCCACAGCCCTGGTGCTAATCTAATGACTGAGCCTTCCAGAGGTCTCGATGAGCATATTCTAGCTATGCTGACAAGGCTACTGTCCTCACTGAAACCATGCGGTGCCCCCGCAGAGCCCGCAAAAAATAGCCAACTTCCCGTTATTCCTTCCTGGATATTATTGTAACCGGACACTGCTGTTTTTTTACGTCAGGTTAAAGTCAGGTTAACGTCAACAAGCTCTCAGTACATATAAGCAGGGCCAAACCTCCCGCCTTTGCAAAAGCATGTTATGAGGACAGCGACACCAAAGCCACCGCACTTTCCACACGCTGCCTCCTCCCGTTCATTCTCCACAACTTACATTTCTCGGCGTGAAGTGGGCTTCTTTCCAGAAGATAAACCAGTCTTAGAAGAAAAATGACAATGCTGTTTTTTTTTGTTGTTTTTTTTTTATAAGAAACCGTTGCTCACACACGACCCGGGCAAACGCCGCTAGCTTGTGGACTACACGTACACTGGAATGAGAATAGCAGATCTAACGCAGTCGGAAGCGAAGTAGATGTTTCTAGAGCTTTCAGCCACAGCCGCGAGTGATGTGAGAGGCGGGGCGTGTCACTGTGCTTTCAGTGAAATACAGATTTACGGACAGGAAAAATAAATGGGTGCAAAATGAAGTAATACGATTTTAAACAACATTTAATTTCTATTTGGGATCAATAAGGTATTTGATTTTGAATGATCACTTCTATTAATTTAACGTGACTTTTATTTTTCGCACAACAAAACTATTTCACACGTATAACGACGTGCATTGCAGACAGAGAGAGAGAGAAATCAGGGCACTGACGTTAATCCAAGAAATGTTTAAGAAAAAACGTATGAACTCCAAAGTTGAAACTTTGCGAGAAAAACCTAAGAAATGTTCTGGATTTTTTATTATTTCTAAGCTCTAAAAGTCTAAATTTTGCAAAATCAAAAGGTTTGGGGGAAAAAGTTTAAGAAATTCTATAGAAAAAAACGTATGAAAAATTGTCCGAGTTTGTAAAGTCGAACATTTTCGACTTTTTAAATTAGATTGATCTCAAAACTTCTGAGTTTTTGCTTGCAAGTTTTCGACTTTTGGAGCTCTAGCATTTATTGATTTTGAATAATTTATTTTAAAGACTAAAAATAGAAATAAAGATCGCTGGTTCTTTAAAATGACATTTCCTTTAATTATTAATGAAATTGTGTCTTAAAAAAAGTCATGTAACACTTGCAGCTTTAAATTAGTTTTATGACATGAAAGCTATTTGTATTAGATCATGTAAAAAAATACTATATATATATATATATATATAGGAATAGCAGTCAAACACATAAAAAAAAACTTAAAATCCAGTTCTCTAGAGTTTTAGTTATTCTTTTCTATCAAGTCATTAGCTGATAAACACTGATATTACTATGCTTAAAATTTACCAAACCAAGAGTGTTGTCATGGCTTTGTAAGCCTCTGATAGGTTAATAAAACTCCTGTGGATTATATAAAATAAATAAAATAAGATATTGTGAAGAGAATTGTAGACCTCTTCATATCTGCCTCCTTCTTGGGTAAAACCTTGTTTTTAATATCTAATAGAGAAGTTGACATTTAATAGTTAAACCTGTTATGAATTTGAATATTCATCCAAAGTTCCCTTAGCAAATCTTGTTAAATTTTGTTTTGATTCCATTCTTAATTGATAATAGTGGTTGCTAATACATTAGTGAATATAATAAAGTTTTAACTGCAATGTCAGTGTCGCTGTGGTTACTTTGAGTTGGGGGTGGGGGGGCAGAGGAGACCATCAGCTTTAATTCCTCACTTTTATGATCTTCATTTCTAAAAGCTGGTCTGGGTAAAGCACAGGCTGTCAGAAATAGCATTAAGTCATGTGATGGGAACTACACAATTCTGCCTTTATTATGTAATCTTAAATTATCCACAAGCGCAAATACAAGGTAAAAATGTGAGTACACCAAGTTTTAATTCTATTGTTTTACATATCAGGACATTAAAAACTCATTTAGTCTTTGAGGTGTAAATAAATAAGCCAAATACAGACAGAGGTGAATAAAACAGCAAAGGACACGATATTCTCCTCATCTGGAGGGTGGTGTAATGTTACAGCGGCAACTCTTCCTGCTCATCACTCTGAAAAATGTACTTTTAAAGCCTTTATTACAACTAATTTGGACTTCATCATTGTACAAGGACAAATACTTCACCAGTGGAAAAAACAAAAGTACTATAAGTCTTTATTTTAACACTGAATCAGGTGAAATTCCCCTCATTTCCCCAAGAGTCTCAATAAATGCCAGATTTTAATTTCATCAAGCCACAACTTTATTTCCATCTTGGTATAAATTGTATAAATGAGCTCAGATTTAATCAGCAACCTTTCGTCAACTCTTTGTTGACAGGATCCCGTTACATCGTCAACTCCTGCAAAGCAACAAAAAACAAAAGGTCAGTTCGAGCTCAAAACACTGTTAAACAGTGAGAAGAGAGAGCTTCTCTCTTCTCAGGACAGAAATGTTGGCTTCAGTAGAGTCAGAAGAACGAAAGTCACTGTGTTAAATCATCACTGAAGAGTCACATATTGCTGACTAAATCAATTTTCACCAATAAAAGTTTTGAATTCTCACCATAATAGCGTTGACAATGTCGTTGTTGTTGTTTTTCAGGGCGCGTACAGCCTTTGCCCGCGACACGTTGGCTTGTGACATGACGAGTTCGATGTCTTTCACCTCGACTCCGGTCTCATCAACCTACATATAAAATTGCAGTAATGTTATGTTTTTCCCTCCCATATTTTCTTTACCGTAAAGCAGCATTAATTTACCACTAGAGAATAACGACATCTTACCTCTTCCTCTTCGCTTTCCTCCTGTACTGTGGGCGTCTGCGTGTTGTCCTGGATCTTTGCTGTAGCTTCTCCCTGTACCTTGAACTTTTCTGCTGCAGCCAGCTGGGCTTGCTGCGAAAGATCTTCAATCTGTGGCACAGATGAAAAGAGAGAAAAAAAAAAAAAAAAGATTGTTACATGAGTAGGCTTCAATAGATTCACTATCAATATGACACCATTAGAGGCATTTATAAATAGCAGGGCTGCTGTCATTCGTCAACATAATCAATGATTTCTATGATGGAGCTGTCGGTACTGATATTTTTAGTCCATCTTTTTGAGAGCATCCTTATTTGCCCAATTTCTTATCTTCCGTGTTTGTTTTGTTCTCCAAAACAAAAATGGCATATAAAGTGTCCAACTACCAAATGAGCAATGCTGTAATAGTCAGAAGTAAGCAGTGGCTGCTGTCAGGTTCTGTGAACTGCAGCAGCAGAAGCGCTAATGGAGTAGCTTCTAAAGAGATATGAAAAATTTTATTTACTTTTTATTTTATAGATGGAAAATGCATACCGAACTTAAAATAGTTGTTATATTATCACCTGAAAATTTGTTTATGGAAATGTTTACACATTTCTTCATATGTAGACTCTGACTAAATCAATTTTAATCAATGTCCAAATAAATAATTTGAACCCAATAAAAACTAAAAACATATGTACAACAGTGAGTTTCAGCCTCCTTTAATGCATATTAAGTTGATGCTTTGATACAAGCATATAAGTGAGGACTATTTTTGATTTGATGTTAAATACTTTGGCTTTTCTATTGGTAAATCATGAAGGTTTTCTTTTTACTATAGTTTTGTCATGCTAAATTGAGCACACAATTTATAAAATTCATACTTCAAGTGCAAATCTTTGCACATTATGTAGTGTATGCAATAAGACAAAAAAAAAATCAGTTTTAAATAATTAGCTTCTTTGGATGATAAAACAAAATTGGTCTGTAGGTTAATAAAAAATAGTGATTATTATAAAGTGGTTTGGTTCATGTTGGGCACACTGATGCTGGCTGGCCGGTTACCTTAGCTTCACCGAAGACGATGTATGTATCTGACGCAGGGCTCTTGTAGACGTCTGGTTTGGTGATGACGAACAAGATGTTCTTTGATTTGCGAATGGTGACCCTGGTGACCCCTGTTACCTGCCTGAGTCCAAGCTTTGACATCGCCTGCAATCATGTGGAATAGTGTTGCAAATGTGGCGGAAATCCAGAAGAAGCCGTCTGCGTTTGTACAACAAGGAAGACGTGATCATTACCTTTCGTGCCTTCTTTTCACTGCGGCTCTGTTTGGCTTTGCTTACAGGCTCTTCGTCTATTTCAGCAGCTGCTGCAAGCTATAAGAAATAGAAATTTTATGGATTAGGATAGCATGGAAATTAAGAGGAGATTAATAAATTTTTAGCATGAAAAACAAATCTTCTCAGAACATAGATGTGGCTTCAGTAAGCTCAGAAGAACGAAAGTCACTATGTTAATCATCATTGAAGAAGAGAAGTCAAGAGAAGTCATGCTTCATCAGGGCAGGATGTTGTTGACAAATAAATATGCTGGACTGAACTTTAATCATTACCTGAGCTTGTTGTGTCTGTGTCTGTGCAGAGTCCTGTTCTTCCAGCTCAGGAACTGAGTCATCACTGTCCGACTCTGTGCCAGATCCTACAGAAACCAAAGGTACATTTATTTATAGGGTACACCTTCAAACTGTTTTAGAAATAAGCTGTAAAACACACACACACAAAAGCAAACATTGTCAGTGGGTCTGAACTTTGCTACAAAAGAGCCACAGATAAATAGATTCTGCACCAAACAATCTGAACACTTTAGTTACAAGCCAAACCCATGTTTAATGCGCCAACAGGTAAACTCTGTACCCAATACAACACTAACAAAAAGCCAAAACAAACAATGAACACAATGATAAACTGCCAAAACTGCCAACAAAAAGAAAACTGCTGACACTGTCAACCCAAGTTAATGTAAACTTCCCACACTAGATATCTGTGAAGGTGAATGACCCTATCCAAAAATCTTAGAAGTTTCCAGAACATGGGGAAACAGACAACACAAAAATGACAAAGAACAGATACCATTGTCGTCCTTGATCACAGATTCCATCTTGGCTGGGGTTTCGACAGGTTTAGATGATATGACATGATTAGAGGGAGCAGTGCTGATTTTATCAGCTTCAGGCTTGACAGGTGCAGGTTTTGCCACTGCTTCGGCAAAAGTAAGTTTACGTGTGGCAGGGGGCGGAACAATAGGCTCAACTGGAGCAGGTTTTGAGGGGACTTCAGTAGTTTGCTTGGCTTGTTTAGGTGACTCATCAGCCTTCGGTTTTGCTGTTTTAGGACTCTCAGGAGCTGGTTTAGGTGCTTCAGCAGCAGTTGGTTTGACTTGCTTGGTTTGGCCTGCACCGTCAGGGGCTGTTGCTTTGGCCAATGGACAAGCCTCAGCTGTTTTATAGGGGTCTGAAGCCAACTGCTTTGCCTGCTTGGCTGCCTCGGGGGACGCCTGCTTTGCCTGCTTGGCTGCCTCGGGGGACGCCTGCTTAGCCTGTTTGGGCGCCTCGGGGGACGCCTGCTTAGCCTGTTTGGGTGCCTCGGGGGACGCCTGCTTAGCCTGCTTGGACGCCTCTGGGGCTGCCTGCTTAGCCTGTTTGGACGCCTCTGGGGCTGCCTGCTTAGCCTGTTTGGGTGTCTCGGTGACCGCCTGCTTGGCCACTTCCAGGGCTGGTCTAGGTGCCTCGGTGGAGGTGGCTTTGGCCTTCTTGGGTTCCTCGGTTGGTTTGGCCAGTTTAGGAGTCTCAGAATCTGCTTTAGGTGCCTCAGCAGCTATTGGTTTGGCTTGTTTGGGGGCCTCAGCAGCTGTTGCCTTCATGTCAACCGACTGAGCCTTATTAACTATCACAACACCCTTTTCGGGTGCTTGTTTGGTAACCTCAGAAGGGGTTGACTTTACACCAGCATTTGGCTTGGTAACTTTAGGAGGTGAGGCCCTAATATTCTCAACCTGTTTAGGACCTGTGTTAGAGTTCAATTTGGTCTCATCTGCTGGCTTCACAGCAGCAGCAGTTTTGTCTTGGCCAGTCTTGCCAGCAGCAGATTTAGCCTTGGAATCTGTAGGAGAAGGCTTAATGACCTCCTGAGTTACAGTTTTCACTTGGGCAGCTGCCTTAGGAGCTTCGACAGGCAAAGGTTTGGGTTCAGTACCCATCTTGGCTTTACTCTCCTCTGGAGGAGCAGAAGTAACCCCTTTAGGTCTAGGCTCAGAAGGAGACAAAGCAGCTTTTGCACTCTCTTTGGCAACAGGAGGTGCAGAGACTTGCATTTTACCAAGCTTCTCAGGTGGGATAAGTGGAGGAAGCTCATCATCGACCATAAACAATACAGGTTTTGCGGAAGCAACCTTATCACCAGATTTTGGTGGGCTTGAAGCAAGAGTATCAGAGAATGAAATTGGTGCTGCAACAGCAGGCTTTGGGGTGACTTTAAATGCAGGGGGTGGCTGAGATTTTGTCTCAACTGGGACAACTTTAGCTTCAGTAGTCATAGATTTCTTCAAGTTAGGTTCCTCTGACTTTTCCTTTACCTCTGGGACTTTGTGGTCTACCTGGACAGGAGCAGGCTCAAATGCCTCTCCTTTCTTAGCCTTTCCTTGTTTGCCAGCCTTAACCACTTTTGGGGCAGAACGATTGGCAGGGGAGCTACTGGCTGAGGAAGCTAAAGGTGATGCTAAAGGTGATGCCAAAGGTGACACCACGGGTGACCGAGGAGTAGAGGAGGGAGTAGATTTAGGTGAAGTGGGTGAGGAGGAAGAGGCAGACATAGAGGAACGTTTTCTTCTGCCAGGTACAGCCTTTGGGGCAGAAGAACCCTGTCCACTCTTGGCATCTTTGCCTTTGGCCTTTGCGGGGCCAGAAGCTACCTGAGGTTGCTGGGTAGAAGCTGGGGCAGGAGGCGGAGCTGAACAGGAAAGAGATCATTTTAAATTTGTATCCCAATAGCTCAAGACATAGGCATGCGGGTTGAACACTCACAAATCAAAAAGCACTCTCGGGCTTACGTTAGAAAAAAACAAAACCTCAGTACATCTTCCATAACTTTAATACAAGCCAGCACCACAAAACACAAACTGCATATTTCCACACAGAAACCTTCCGTCTGCATTACATTAGAAAATAGTTTGGGAGAAAGAAATTTGCATAACTAATACAGAATTCCCATAAAATACTGCACATCCAATGAAAAATTCCACACAAAGATTTGCATCTAAAAGTACTCATAGCGATTTTGAAATATCAAGTAACTTATTCTAGTAGTGCAAATGTGTTTACAATCCCACTTTATTATATTCTTGACTAAATTATGACAGAAAAAGAAAATAAAATGCCATTAGCCTGCCACTGTACTTTTGGGATGTACAAATCAAGCATAAGAATCTACAATAAAACTCAGAATATCAGAGAATTTGTTAATTTGTGCTTGCGGTCTTGACAAACCTTAACTTCTTAAAACCTCAATGACTTCCATGATAAAAGATCTCAGACTGATCATTTCCTGCTGCTTCTGGTATGGCTTTTTTAATGAGACCTCAACACCAGACAGACAATTAAACCAGTTCTTACAATTACCGTTGGATGAAAAGCTTTACATCTACAAAGAATGAGAACCAACTTACGCCACACAGAGCTGATTTAACTCCTTGTAAATATTGTTGATTTATCAATAGAGGAAGTAAGCTAATGATAGCTTTCCTCTATTAAAGTAACACCAATGCTTTTTTTTTGGACACAATATATTTCAGCATTGTAACAAATAAAGTTTTGCTCTTTTAAATGCAATGAATAGTTTATTTCCAAACTCAACAAATACATTTAATATTTATGCCATATTTGAGAAATTAACTTACACCAAACTTATGCCCTGGTTTAATACTTATTAATCCTTGGTTAATAAGTGACATTTTAAAGTCACTATGTCTCCTGTTAATCGTTTTACAGTTAAGTTGAAAACTTGATTGGTCCTATAAAGAATCTATATCAACAAAAACTGACAATGAGTAGCCAATGATGTCGTCCTGTTGTGCAAAATAATCTCAAACTGCATGTAAAAAAAGAAAAAAAGGGACATGGGTTTGGTTTTTATGGAGGATAAACCAACCTGAGGGTTGATGAGTGGCTTCATACTTATTAGTCCCCTTGGTCTGAAAAGACTTTGATAGAAGGATAGGAGGTGTGTTCATGTCACAAATATCATTCTCAAGAACCACATTGGGATACATTTTATCCTCATCAGCTTGACCATCAAATGAGGTCTTGGGTGAAGTAATCCTCCCATCTTCATGTCCAGGACCAACATCTTCTCCAAATGCCTTTGCATCATCAGAAACTGGTTCGATATCTTGTGTGGATAATTTTTCAACTGCAACAAAGCAATCACTTTGTTGGGCTTCAACAGTAACCAAGGAAGCCAAAGGGGCCTCAGTAGGAGGGCCACATTCTTCATGAGCTGCCGGACCAGCTGAAGCCTCTGCTGAGACAGCAATCAGCTCTTGCTCTGGGACAGCTGAGGCTTGAAAGCTGCTCACTTCTTGATTTGCAGCTACACAGTTGGCTTGATCACAGAAAGCATGAGTTTGTGTTTCTTCTGCCAGCCCTACTTCCTGAGCAGATATAGCTGAAGCTGGAGGATTTTTACTCATTGTGGGAGGAAGAGGAGAGTTGAAAACTCCAGGAGCTAATGAAGGAAGAGCAACAGAGATGACAGGAGGTACAAGAGGTAAGACTTCAGACTTCACAGAAGCAAATAAAGGGAAAATGTTTTCCACAAGTGAAAAGATATGAATAAAAAAACATGAAATTGTTTGGTTTTGGGAAAACTAAAGGGTGAAGAAATGACTTTGATGAAGAGTGACGGTGTCCCAAACTCCATGCAGTGTTTAAATGTGACAACAGTGAAGACATGTTTTATTTTTAGGAGGTTTAGAAAAACTAACAAATATCACACTTATTACTGTGATAAATTCTATACAGTCACTATTAAATACATTTCATCTTACAATAAGACCTTTTAATTCTTACCACTTTTCTTCCAGTGACAATATCCCACGTCTAGTTATTTAATATAAATGTTTGGAAACAACCACTAAATAGAAGAGCTGCTCTGCAACCTTGATGAATGATTGAAAAAAAAAAAAAATTATGTAAAGATCAAAACAGAGTCGCACAGAAGGCACCTTAAATTAAGGGTTGTAGTAACCTCATCGCTGAACACACTTTAAAATGATTCTTAGACTAAAAACAAACTGATTTTATTCACATGTTAGAATGTCGTTGCCTTAAAATGATCTTAAAAAGACTTAACTGTAGCTCTTTGTTAGGAGCTCAACTTCTTTGAGTCCTATTTATTTTGTACTCTTGGTTCCCTTTCAGAGCTTTAAGAGGAATTTTATTATATTTCAAGTTCATTAGCACCTTTAGACAGTATTGTAGGCATACCTGCTATGTATTGTGGGTAAGGTGTGGCAGCGTGTCTTGATAAAGTCTGTATAAATGGATGTTTTTTTAAACAACCATATTCTATATGAAAGTGTTGCAGTTGTAATATCACACATACGTTCCTGTTTCCGTTCTTATTTATTGTTATATGTTTTTAAGTGATTAGTTTTAACAGGAGATGGCAAGAAAGCAATTTTGATTTCTCAGATGTCTAGCACATATTGACAATAAAGAAAACTTTGATTTTTGTCAAAAAGCCTATTCTAAACTACAACATTTTAAAGTCACAGCTTTAACTAATCAAAATGCATAGGCAACCTAAATCTACCAAAACATCAAATCCACACACCAGATTGTTTTAACAAGCAGTGTTACAACGATGTACCTCAATGTTAGTCATTCTGTGCAGAAACACAAACATGACTCAACATGCATTGAGTGCCAAATCCAGTTAGCCAGTCCTTGTAATAACACTCTATTGTGAGTTTGAGTGAATGAAAGAGGGGTCCTGGATTACGCTTTACTCCGAATCCTAAAACGGACACATACTGTCACCAATCTCAGATCACATGAATGCTGTCAGCTTTTATATCAACACCTTATCCTGCAGAGTCCATTCCCTAAACCGAAAACGTACCCAAACACAATTCTCGATTCAAATCACATCCAAGCAGAAGCCACTCGCTGATAGATGTATAACTTCTTTAAGATCCAACACCCCACTTTACAAAAATGCAGAACAGCAGCGTGCAAAACTGAGAAGTCAGGCTGTACAAACCAGTCTCCGCTTGAGGCTGCTGCATCTCCTGCTCGGTGACTGGGACCGTTTCTGTTGCTTCGCCAGGCATGGTCGCTGGTAGGGAAAATAAAAACACATGCTTTAAGTTGTTTTTCAGTAATCTGAAACCAAATACTGCCTCTGTCGACACATAAAAATCTAAACACAGAACTGCGGAGATCGGCTGGACAGGTAACAGAGCCCAAACTTTAGCTTTGCGAACCGTTTGTAATGCATTAAGCAACACTAGCTTCGGCTAATTGCCCGTTAGCCTCAACCGAAAGAAGATAGCTGCTAATAACTGTATATTAGCATTTTCCCTCCTATTAGTCATGTTTATAGCAATCCAGGTGGTTGTCATTAATATGAAAATTAATATCTCGAGATAAACAAGTAACTGCGGCCCTGACAAACTGCTAACAGTGTGTTTTACATCATGCTCCCCCATTTTGAACCGGCAATCAGCGCTAACTGAGGCAGATTCTCGTTAAACCGAGAACTCTTAAAGAGTAATACTTGTAACGGCTTAATGGTCAAACTTTAATCAAACACACCAAACCTACCGCAAAGACAGAAATGAGTGGAAAACAAGGGGATGCAGACGGATTGTTAACGGAGAACTCACCAACTCAGGACGCTATTTCCAAGATGGCTGTGAAAGAGAACGCCTGACCTCAGATTCAATGTAATATCCGTTGGAGAAATCGCTTCCGCATCCGGGTCAGCTAAATTAACAGCGATCTCAGAATAACAATCATGTCAATGATGTTTTTTCGTATGGTAAAACAAATGTTTATTATTTCATTATTATTTTAGAAAGTGTTGCTACTCTTATTTTACTAGTGGTAAAATTAAAAGTTTGTTACACAAGCTTTTTTTTGTTGTTTTTTTTATGAGCCTGTTGTGCCAATTTGAGATCAAAGATATACAGTAAGGACAATATATTTTACCTAATGTATTTGTTTCATAAGTGTTATGTTGAAAAAAAGTGATTTGAAAAAGCTTTTGTATTTTTTTTATTCCTTGAAATACCAGAATTTAACTTTAATTTTATCTGACATTTTTAAATATTACACCGAATGTTATCAGTTGCTCACTTGTAAATCTCCCTTTCACCAAATACTTTTTTACCCTCTACCTTGAGTAGGGTAGAGTCATTTCTTGAAAAGTTACTCTTTACTTGTACTTGAGTAAAAATATATTGTAGTGCTACACTTGAGTAAATATTTATTCCAAGTCCTAATGGATTTGGATGCCATTTAAAAACATTTGAGATCATTTAGATTTACAGGCAGTTTTCTGCAGCTCATCATGTTTTGATCATTTGAGCACATTTGTAGCTCATCAAATACATTAATGCTGGAAATATTACACAAAAGGTGAGTGCAACAATCAAAATAAGAGGGGAAAAAACTTCAAACAAGGTTTACAACAACATATGAATTTAATTTCACTGCATAGCAGCAATTTGCTGCCTTTTGACAAGAAATTTCTGTGATAAAGTCAGCTTTATTTGGTGGTTTAAAACACAGATATAACATGACTGAATAAAACAGCATCAAAACTGGTGTGATCAGATGGTATTGTCCAAAAATATGATATCTCCACAAGCTGAACCATAAGCATGGCTCCTCAGTTACATTGAGCACTAGGGCAGAAAGTGTGATTTCAGATTGAGGAGCCTGTTCAAAACTCTTTCTGAAGATCTAAAGGAAGAAAATAAGAAAACATAAAAACAAATCAAGCATAAAGTTGTTAAAAATGTCACCAGTGTTAAACTCACCACTCTGTCTGAGAAGTTTTCCTTTCCATGAATCAGCCATTTCAGCCAGAAACTGATCAAAGTACTTCACATACTTTGCCAAACTGGTTCTCTTGTAATCTGTAAGGAGAGGACAGACAAAATTTACTTCAATTACAGCATCGAACCAGGCAGAAGATCTGAGCAACTAAGCCAGTTGAATACTGCAAAGAGGACGACCCATTTTGTGACAATTTCATATGAATTTATTTCTGATGTATTTCGCCCCCCTTTGTCACCTCTGATTTTCCTCTTCTCTGCTGAGTCTTGTTCGTTTTCCTTCTCCTTCGCGTCCTCTGACTTTGCTTCGTCCTCATCTGCCTTGGGTCGATCCAGCTCCTCACAGATCAGACTGAAAAATAAATAAATCCATAAAAGTTACACGTACAGCACACAAAATAGTACATCAAAACAATTTTTATTTACTCACCTAATTGTGGGCACAGCAAAAGGATCAAACTTCTCCACGTCTTTAAGATCTATGGGAACGGAGATGCGCCCTGGACAAGCGAAGAGGTGAAGTTAGAAAAACATTTCCTGGTGAAAACAGTTAGTGAGGGTTCATGCTCACCTGTTTTGGGATGAACACTGAAAGGGCTTTTCAGTAAATGGTTCACGCCTTTACTGACGTTGACGTCCAGTCGAGGGTAGCAGTACTGCAGCATGATCTCCTTTTCAAAGTACTGCCGCTTTTTGGCAGTGGTCTGGAGGAGGAACGATTATCAGACAAAACCAATTTACAAGCAAAATAAAAAAAATAAAAAAAAAAGTATTATGAAGAAAGTCTAAATCCAGAACAGCTGGATCGTTTTTTAAAAGTACAAAATAAAATATGTTTAGTGTTTTTGAAGCCCTTCTTCAGCAAAACATTCTTACAACCTGGTTAATCGTATTCATTTCCCACTTTTGCTGCCGAAATACCTCTGAGTCATGGAGACATGGACGCCACTGGACCCCTGAATGTCTATGGTACCGGGATCTTACTAGTGACTCCTTTAACTAGCAAGATAATGTCTGGATGGATCCAACTCATGTAGTGCTATTCAAGAGGTTCTAACCTTCGCATTCATAACAGACATCTTTTCACAGTAAGGTTAATTTGAAGGGTTCAAAAGACATATTTACTTGGTATAAAAAATAAAAATAAAAAAATTATTTAGATGAATCAAATTTACAGATTTTCGAGCTTTTCTGGAAAAAGTCTTTGCGTAAGACAACCATAACAACCAACCTGTTTCTTTTTGGCTTGGGCTTCAATGTGACGCCAGCGTCTCTCTGGGTTCCTCTCCTCCTGAAATATCTCCTGTAATTCTTTTTTAACATGTAACCAGTTATGTTAAGGTCAAATCGTTATCACATTTTTTTCTAATTTCAAGATACCTGACAAATAAAGGTTTAATGATTTACCATGGGCATCATTGGAAAAGCCCATTCGATTATGGTAATGAACACGTAAAATTAAAGTGCAGCTCTATGCACACTAAAAATGTAAAGGATATCTTCTGGTACGAGAGCCAGGACTTTCTCTTCAGACTCCTTGCGTCCCAGTATGTTCTGATCCTGTAATGCGTATTGTGGAAAGTAGCGCTTCACCACCGTTAAAGACTCTCTGTTAAGATTATAAATTCAAATTGTTAAACACATAAAGCCAAATAACCAAATAATGATAAAAACAAGACAGTCAATTTAGAGACAAATGTCGAATCCCTTTACCTGATGAAAGGATGAATTGGATCTGTCAGCACCACTTTCTTGACCGTCTCTTCACCACCCTGTGAAACAGAAATTAAAAGTCAAAATGTATTTCTTGTCACCAAAGTCTCGATATTGGATAAGAACAGAAATCATTTTAGAAAGCTTCATGATCGTCCTAGAAGTCAGCTTCCTAATTAGGGATGGAACCCAACTGTCGAAGTTATAGTCATCCAAAACGTGTTTTTAACTAATTCAAACAAAAATGCGTAATTGAAAAACAACTGGTAAATGGCACACACGTTTCCTTTAATGAGATGTGTGCAAAAATGGATGGTTTCTACACAGTTTTCAGGTCAATTTGTTTAACTTTTAAGACAAAAACATCCTAAGTTATCCATGGATGGAAAGAATGATGGATCGATTAAAGATTAAACACAGTAGCCAAATGGATCGACCAACAAACGGGTAAATAGATGCATACAGACGGATTGATGGGTGGATTTCAGAAAAGACAACATTTAGATAACCAAATCCTTTTACACAGAGAATGAAGTCTTAAAATACAAATATTGTTCCATAATCTATTTTTTTTAATCTTTATTCACGCCTTAAAATCCAGTTTTCAAATTTTTGCAAATGAATCCTGCAAAGCGAACATTCAAAGTGCTGACATCCTTATGACTTGCTTACAGATTCCTATTATTGTTTATGTCTTATTCATACTACCTTTTATGAATACATTTATATTAAAAGAGAAGTGAAACTGTTTTACCTTAATCAGGCTGAGATATTCTGCCACAGCGGACCGTGCGGCTGCAGAGAGCTTCCGGGCAGCTTCGTCACACACCCAGCAATGAACTCCTCTTCTGCCTGAATACACCCACAGCAAGTGGTGGAAACCAAAGTCCTCTGCAGAGAGAAAAAAAAAAAACTAAATAAACTCAAGTGATTGTGAAGAAAATCAATAAAAGAAAACCTCTTAAAATAAATCCGCAGCATACGGCGAAGAGATCTGTCCAAAATACGGATGGCGATGGTCATCAGCGTCCAGCACTTGGAGCAAATATCTGCAGCACTGAAATCAAGTTTTTAAAATGTTATTGATAGAGAGTATATTTCTGAACATGTGCAAAGATCCTTAAAAAAAAAAAAGTGAAATAATTTGTTTTACCTGCAGCAGGTTCGAACATCATCGTAATCCGTCATATCGATATCAAACACCAGCTCTTTCTCCAGAGCCTGGAAGCTGCCTGACTTCACCGTGTTGTGTTGATTAGGCTGCGGACGACAAACAGGAACTTATCTTTAAACATGTGCAACAACACATGACCCAGAGAGGCACGCATCAGACCGGAAAGGTTTACCCTGTGACTGTACACCGCTCCGATATCAATCTTGTACGGGTTCATTTTCTGCATTTCCTTCTCCAGCTCGCTCTGTGAGCTGAACGACTGGTAGCGCACGTAGATGTCGTCTTTGAGCGTGAAGGAGAACTCCCGGTTCTGGAAGTAGTTCTTCTGCACTGAGGATGTAAGAAACGTAAGAGTCAGGGAAAGTAGGCAAACAAAACAAACGACACATTTCAACAGGGGTCTATATAAAATTGACTCGATTGCTATAAAACACATTTGTGCAGTTGCTTTAATCTCCTCTGGTCTCGAAATGATTAATCAGATTAATTATTATTAATTGTTTATGCAAATAGTCGTCAACTAACTTACTAATGGATTAACCACACTGGAGAATACAGACTATAAAAATAACTATTTTCTGAAAGAGCAAGCCAAAACTATACAAAAATAAACACATTTTGCATTTCAGATGAAAAACCTTCTTTGTCTCTAAATATATTTAAATATTTGGATTATTCCTGTTTCTCTTGCAAGAAAAGCCAGGCAAGAAAAGCTTGCCTGGCTTTTCTTGAGCCAGGCAAGAAAAGTCCCTAAAAACATTTGCCTCTGCTAATTTTTTTTCTATTAAACAACCTAACTAGGTCTTAAAAATAAACCCAAAATAATATTTTATTTAAAACGTATTAGCCAAATAGGCTTTATGCTTAAAATGTAACAATGTTATTAACAAATATTATCAGTTTTATTAAGTTTTTTATGCCAATGTCACGTAAAATCACAAGTAATTTCTTACATATAAGTTAAAAAATGTCAAAAGATCAAAAATGTAAAGCTAAAAGCTATCCGATTTTTTAAAATGTTGATTATCGTATTGAGCACTTCAATGG